TCCGTTCGGTTCTTGACCATGTGCAATAGATGAGACCATCTAGAAAAGCAGTCGGAGCGGCTGTTGGTCACTCACGTATACACAAAACTTCACACAAAATTTCCGAACTGTCAGTGAAGACAGCTAGTTCATCCTTGCTGACAGCCGTATAATTCAGTAACTACTAACACCTCATATAACTAAGCAGCAGCAGAAAACCGTCCCGAAACTGTACTTGTTAGGTTAAGCACAGGCAGGAATTCCAAGAACAAACATTTTCAAGCATCTCTTCGTTTCTTGCCAAAGCGATTTCTTTCACAGCTTATTTCTACTATACAGTAGTCGCCGGCTATTAAGCCCACGGTTAATAAGCCCGCCGCTTATTAAGCCCAATTTGGTCTGGGCCCGAGGAGGACTCAATAACCGGCCACTGCTGCATGAAGCCCACGGTTAATAAGCCCTCCGCTTATTAAGCCCAATTTGGTCTGGGCCCGAGGTGGGCTTAATAGCCGGCGACTATTGTAGTGAAGAAGGACATAAATATTTATATATATATATATAGATGCAGATCATGGCAGCTTTATGCATGAAAAGAGAGGGCTCATCAGAAAAGATAAATATACTGGTGTAAATGTGCAAGCTTTTAGCAAACACCAATCGTCAAACAAAATTTAAAGTGAAAGGTGGGAGTTTCGCACTGGGGCTTAAGGACGCAGATGAAGAGGTGAGCAGACATTCATGCAAGTTGGAGGTGTACATAATGTTTTTATGACTGCTGGCAGAGGAATCAGGTGTTTAGAGTCTCACGTGTGACTCGTTATGTCATAAGTAAAAGAAGCAAAGGTATGAGATGAGGCAAATTCTGCCTGTCCGGACATCTATAAGGGGGAGCTTTTGTTAAAGTAGACATCAGTCGATCGACCGTGCTCGGAGGCCTTCGTCCTGTTTAGTGTCAGCCATCGCTACAACTTACTTGCTGTCCTGATTAAAACCATAGTCACAGTCAAGGTGTTTACAAACACAAAAGATAAGGGGTCTCGGCAGCGGAAAGTCGGCTTGTGTTCCGTAATGCGAGTACAACGTCGTCGACCCGTGTTAACAAGTGAAACAAAACGACCGTTTGCGCTAGAGATTACGGGAAGCGACGTGGTTTTTATGTCCCTTGGGTATAGGATCTTTTAGCCTGCATAAATTTGCGTGTAGAGAAGACGCCAGTTTGTGGGCGATGCAGATGCTAAACTGTTTTAGTTGTCTGGCACTCGATTCAGACACTTCTTACATTGACGACGAAGAATAAAAATAACCCTAACCAACTTGCTCATGAGGGCTCTAATCGTGTGGTTGACTCTGACGTCCGAGGCATTTCTTCACGAAACATCTCGGATATCCCTTTTGTAGTAACAACTGGTATATGTGGGCAAGTTCTATTTCAAGTAGATGCTCGCTGCCACCGTACCGAAAGGCGCTATGCAATATAGTTCAGATGCAGCTTCTTTTTTAGGGCGCAGGATGAATACACTCCTAGTTGTGGATTATCTCGGTGCTGGGGTCTTTTTTGTGCAATCTGATTGCGAGAGTGCCATTGATGAAGCCTGTGGCGTAGTGGTTAGCACGCTGGACTTAAGCAAAAAAGGTAGCGGTTTGAACCTGAGGTGACGCAACATGTGGGACTGGGTAGGGCTGACTGATAATGACTAATAAGCCAAAAATGACAATTTTAGTCTCCCTTGTCTTTTACGGTACCGTCAAAGTATCCTATGGTTGGCCAAATTATAGGTCATTAGATGCCCGCTGCACTTCGTTATCTAGTCGATATCGGCTCTATTCGCTTCACCACGACACCGGGAGATTTTTAAGTAATACAGAAATCCATACGTCAATGTGCGTGGCCCCTAGGAGCTTGTGGCCCTTCCTGATTGGGTAGGGGCCAAAGATGTTGGTTTCCTCCTGTGCAACTTTGTGTCCTGTGTCCAGTATGCGCAGGATTATCTATAATAAATGGTCCGGGCTCTCCTTAACTAGTTGAGCTGCATGCATGCGGGTGGAGACTGACCCCCGCTTTAACCGCAATAAATAGAACCGCATCCGGTACACGGTATTGTGCAAACTGGTAATTTTCTGTTCAAATGTCAAACCCTTTCCTCAAGGTATACAGGCTGGGTGCGTAGAGTGGTTGTAGGCTTTTACGCTATCTGTCCTTCGACGAGGTCAGATAAATTCTTCGCATATACACTGCGTTGCTATTTTGTTTGTTTTGGTGCCTGGGTGGTCGTAGGTCTGGAATTATCTTTTTTTCTTAAACCTGTTTTACCACGTGCATTGAAGACCAAAGTTAGGAGGCTGCTTATCCTGAGAAGTCAAAGTTAGTTAGCCAAAGTTGGCTTTACTCTGTTCACTAAATGTCTTCGTCAAAACAAAAGACGTTGATTGACCAAGCAAGCTGTAAGCAGGGCTGTATCTTCGAGATCTGGTAAGGGTTCTCCCAAAATGTAATATAACCTCAGAATAAATGTCCTTGTATTAAACTGATATTTGCCTGCGTATGAGGACATCTAGGAATGGATATTTTCCTATTTACTTCCTTTTAAAAAGTGCGGTGCAGTTAATATCATTTTACGATAAAAGATTTGCCGTCGATGTGGCGTATACGCAATCGTGGGTTGACTCTAGGAAGACTGTTTGTTTCTAATGT